GTCAAACCATATATTCAGGGGCCTATTCCTTATATAATTGCTGGTGATACAAACGATGCACTGTTTTTTCTTGAATAGCTTACAGAAATGTGTTTCTACCGTTGCAATAGTATTAAACCAATTTGCAAGGTAAATGCATTGCATGTTGCTGACCTTTGTAAATTAGCTGCAAAATTTGTATATTAGCCATACAGTAGACTCCCTCTTATCCGGACACCTTTTCACCGGACATCGGATTAACCGGACTACACTCGGCGGAAATGACATCTGTTTAACCGGACAATTTTTATCAGCACATTGGTTTAACCGGACTAGATCGGCAGGAAGTGGGCATTACTGAAACGACTGTTCTCGTGGGAAAGATTTGAGACCAGTGATCACGTGTCTAAATACAATGCTCTCCTAAATTTAAGTCGAATATCACAATAAACAGTCCATTTTAATGAGTTTTTGGGGACGTCGGTTTAACCGGAAAACCCGCTATCCGGACTGGCCTCGGTCCCGAGGAGTCCGGATAAGAGGGAGTCTACTGTACTGCATCAAAACAGCTGTGTTAAGTAAGCCTACATGATTTGTGGGATAGTTTCACTTGTTCCCTACTTAGTTTTTAAACTTGGATTGTAAGCAATGGCATGTATCGAAAGTATTTTTTGATTGGTTTAATAGTTCGACATATTGATTGTATAATGTAAACTATAGTTCGGCCGCTTAGAAAACGACCTGCGCGCTAATGCTAAACCAATGCTGGAGTAGGTCGCTTTCTAAGCGGCCGAACTATAACACAATAGCAATGACAAAATGATTGAATCACTTACCAAACAGATATGATTGCTGTAATATTGCCTGACACAAGTATTCAATTTTTATATAGGCTATTAGGCCTACAGATTAAATAATCCAAAAATTAAAAACTAATCCTTAAACATGCAATTTTTATTAATAACTTCCTAAAAATAGTGATATGTCGATACCAAAATTTATCGAATCTCTGTACAGACACCTGAAAAATAGATTCTTAATACTGATCATGTAACAATTTGTCCAAATTTTCTGAAGGATTACTACACCAACCCCTGGCTTTATGTAATTTCATATAGTATAATTTTGGAGTAATGGGTTGTTTTCCAAGTAGCCTACAGAAATAATAATGCAGAAATTACAAAAATTGCACGTAGCCAATTTATGTTTTAAACCCATCTAAACACATTAAATAAATACCACGTTGAAGGTAGGTGGATGAAGATATAAAAAAAAATATTTAAAAAAACTTTCTAGAAGTGTGCCATTTTAAAATTTTTGGTCAAGCCAAACTCGAGGTTATATTGTAATCATCTAACACAGTCGTAGAGACACCATCATCGTTTTCTGCAATAACTGAAAAATCCTGAATATCTCAATTAGTAAAAGAAACATCACCACTGTCTTCCGTGGTCGTGGAAAAATCCTGATATTGTTCAGCGGTAACGGAAACATTATAATCGTCTCCCGCGATCAAAGTAAAGTTATCATAATCTTCCTCGATGGTAGCTTAATTCAAATAATTTCCCGCGGTCATCATCATCAAGCAATATTGTTGGACATCATCATCGTTTCCCACAGGAAACGTCATCGTTCGCATGCGCGATCACGGAAACGTCATCGTCGTCTCCCGCGGTCACGAAAACGTCATCGTCATCTCCCGCAGACACGAAAACGTCATCGTCATCTCCCGCAGACACGAAAACGTCATCGTTGTCTCCAGAAGACACGGAAACGTCATCGTCGTCTTCCGCGGTCACGAAAACGTCATCGTCGTCTCCCGCAGACACGGAAACATCATCGTCGTCTCCCACAGGAAACGTCATCGTTCGCATGCGCGATCACGGAAACGTCATCGTCATCTTCCGCGATCACGGAAACATCGTCGTGGTCTCCCGTGGTCACAGGAACGTCATCGTCGTCTCCCTCGGTCACGGAAACGTCATCATCGTTTCCCGCGGTCAAGGAAACGTCATCGTCCGCATGCGCGATCGCGGCAAAATCACTAACATATCCCGCGGCCATTTGGACATTATCATCGTCTCACGCGGTCACGGAAACGTCATGTCTGAATGGGCGATCACGGAAACGTCATCGTCGTTTCCCGCGGCCACGAAAACGTCATCGTCAACTCCCGCGGACACGGAAACGTCATCGTCCGCATGCGCGATCGCGGCAAAATCACTAACATATCCCGCGGCCATTTGGACATTATCATCGTCTCACGCGGTCACGGAAGCGTCATTGTCTGAATGGGCGATCACGGAAACGTCATCGTCGTTTCCCGCGGCCACGAAAACGTCATCGTCAACTCCCGCGGCCACGAAAACGTCATCGTCAACTCCCGCGGACACGGAAACGTCATCGTCTGCATGCGCGATCACGGAAATGTCATCGTCGTCTCCCGCGGTCACGGAAACGTCGTCATCGTCTCCCGCGGTTACGAATACGTCATCGTCGTCTCCCGTGGTCACGGAAACGTCGTCATCGTCTCCCGCGGTTACGGATACGTCATCGTCGTCTCCCATGGTCACGGAAACGTCATCGTCATCTCCCGCGGTGACGGGAACGTCATCGGCGTCTCCCGCGGTCGCAGCAAAAAATTCCCGGTTAAATACAAAATTCACGCATAATTCCCGGTTTTTTTCCCGGTACAAAAAATTCAGGCATAATTCCCGGTTTCCCGGTCGGTGGACACCCTGTTTAGTGATGAAATACCTTTTTTTTTGTTTTACTACCCAGTGCGTATTAATACGAGGTGTGGCTAGGAAAAAAATTGTATTTTTAGAGTAATCTTTTTATTTTTGTTTCCTTTACAACTTTTACCGTATCACCTTCAATCAGCGACCACAGAATTATAATAGACCGGGCATGCCAAACGATACAGAGTGAAACCTGTTTCCAACGCTTCGCACCTATCCAACATGGCGGCTGCAGTGATTAGTCACCCAAGTACGGTGCGCGCACCTAACTATTTTGTATTTCTTCTATCTATTTTTTTACTATTGCCTAAACTATTTTATTGTCACTGACAAGACGTCAGCGCATGCGCGAGCTCTCCGGCGTCGGAAGCTAGCCGGAAGCCTATCGCTTCTCGACCGAAATAATTTTACCGGACCGCACCTGACGCACTGGACCGGATTCAGTGAAGGGACTTCCATTTGAATTAATGGTTTTGGAATTTATCTGATCCGATTTTACCGGACCGGACGCAGTGTGTGACGAGCCTAATGAATACTGAACACCACTTGTGCATTGTGGGCTGGGGCGTTGTCCTGATTTAGAATCCACGACTTGTTCTTCCACAACTTGGTAGCTTTTTTCGCACTCGCTCACAGAGGGTGGCCAAAACCCCAAGGTTGTATTCTTTATTCACGGTTTGACCTTCAGGAGGAACCCAATTTGTATACATTATTCCATGGATGTAAAAAAAAAATCATCAGGTCTTTAATTTTTAATTTGACATTTGAGCTTTCTTCATTGGTTTAGTGAATTCAGACTCTTCCAGTGCATTATTTCTTGTCGCTTGGTTTCTGCATGGGTAAAAAACCCTGATTCCTCACACGTGATAACTCTTTCCAACAATTCAGGATCTTCCCTGATGTTTTTTTGCGAATTTCCCTATAGGGAATTAGCTATTACCGTAGGTGGCACAATAAGACCTAGGCCCGGGACCAATTTGCTTTTTCATTGTGATGTCGCCAGAGGCCAAAAACACCATCCGTTAAAAATGTTATATATGTATAAATAGGTTCATATATGTGTCCGTAAACGCGATAACTTGTGTAATTTTGTCCGATTTTTATGAAATTTGGTTTGAAGGTGTAAGGGGGGATGAACTTGAATGAGTTTGCGAACCAGCAAAATCGGACCATGGGAATGGGGTTTTACCAACAATTTGTTTTATGGGGTAAAAAATTATTTTTCTTCATTTTTGACCCTCAAAACACAAAATTTCCCAATTTCTCTCTAGATTATTTTTAGCTTAAAAGACAAATAATTTAGTATATCAAAGTGTTTTTGTACAATTAATGGTTACGAAGAAAATTAAAAAAAGTAAATTTAAAATTTCTTTGTTATTTTTATGGAGAATATTGTAAAATTTTGTAGTTTGCTTGTTTATGGATATAGGCCTATTTTGATCAAACTTGGCAAATTTATTTATTTTATGCTTAGCTACTAATATTTTATTAAAAACCCCACTTTATTGGCTTCGCTGTAGCAGCAAACCTAGATACTTGTTAAACCTTATGTTAGCCTATATAAAGAGTTTTAATTTAAAATCAATTCAGCAAATAGAAATTTACAACATTGCTGCAAGATTGCTGCGGCGGGGTATTTAAGATGTCAGAACAGATTTCCATCCGTAGCGTGAGGATTTTTGGCACCATTTTGGAACACACTTTTCTCATATTAAAATTATCATTTAATACTTGATGAACCAATTCTTTCTCAATTCCCACAGTCTCGTCAACTGCACGGATACTCAATCTACGATCTTGACAGATTACTTTGTCTATTTTTCTTAATGTTTTCATCCGTCTTCGAGGTTGAAGACCTAGGCGCGGATCACCTTCATCATCTTCTCTCCCTTCTTTGAAACACTTGTACGTGACATACATTCTTCCCTAAACACTTGTTGTAAGAGAGAATAAGTCTCTGTTGCGGAATCACCCACCTTCACTAAAAATTTCACGTTAACACATTGCTCAATTACGATGCCTACCATTTTTCCGACGAGCGGCATATACAAGGTCCAACATCAACAAAGGCTGAGGCCCGACTGACCAAGCTAAGCATGTCAAGCAAACCATTAAGTCTCAGATTTATCTCTGCCACATCAGTGCAATGGCTGTTGCTAACCTTAGAAATCATTCAACGAAATCTAGTTGAGCAAATTTTTAAGACGCAGCCTGGAAATAACCAATTGGCTTATTTAGACAGCCATACGCCACCAATGTAAAATGAAACATATTACTCACATAACTCTGCCGTACTCGTCACAAGGTTTCTCATCTGCATTGCTGTCACTTCCCAGCAGCATGGTTCGGTAAGCAGCTATTTTGGAGTCAATCTCGGTTTGAGGACATCTGAAAAAAGTAATGATTCATCAAGTTTAACAAATTACTTAATTTAAATAGTTTTACAACTAGGGATGTGACAATTCTCGATACCACCAATACTTGGACAATGGTATCAGTATTAAGAATCGATCGATAAAAGTCGATTCCGATACAAATACCCGACTCTTCTGTGAAGATCGTACAATCAGAAAATTACTGCTATTGTCACGACTGCGGGAGACAATGATGTCGTTTACAGGGCTGTGGCATATAAACAGAGAAGAGATTTGCCGCGATTTAGGATAGGATGATAAGTCTACAGGGCCGAAAAATATTATTTAATGAATTTGCCACGATCATGCAAGACGACAACAACGTAACCGTGACTGCAGGAGACTGCCAGAGTTTTGCCGCGATCGTCCAAGACGATTATGACGTTACCGTGACTGCGGGAATCGGATGATATGTGTCTACATGGCCGCGGGAGATGAACAGAGTTTTGCCGCGATCGTGCAAGACGATTATGACGTTACCGTGACCACGGGAATTGGATGATATGTGTCTACATGGCCGCAGGAGATGAACAGAGTTTCGCCGCGATCGTGCAAGACGATTATGACGTTACCGTGACTGCAGGACTCGGATTGATTAGGTCAAGACAAATTTCACCATAGGAACATGGGTCTATAGTACCTAGTTTACCGTATATCTGTATTTATGTGTTTTTCACAAAAACATTAATGACTCCTAAACGGTTTGAGATACAGCATTGAGATTTTGCAATATCTTATTAAGACCTATATTCGTTTAAAATTATACAAAAAATCATAAACCGTCTCAAAATGGCGGTCATTTAAAATATTTTACTCCAAATTTCACAAAAACTGTTAACTTTGCAAACAAATTGCAAGAGACAAAACAGTAAATTTTATGCAGTTTTCAAGGATACCTTATTTGTTAAGAATGGATAAATAATAACAGAGAAATGTGTTCTTTTCATAATGCATGACCACTTTTCTCCGTTTAAACAATGCTAATACTCATTTTACATTGTCTAAAAATCTTTACAATCATCTGTTATACGTCAATCAGGAGTTTTAAAACATATCAGCTGATTGAATTATGACAAAATTTCGGGTTGGGAGACAAAATTGAGATTTTAAAGTATGTAATTGTCGCCTCACCTGAAATTAGGTCACACCTTAAACTTGTCCAGATAGCTTAGCCTACAATGAGATAGTCCAGGACTCTAACGTGTTCGTTAATTAATGATCGTTTCGAGTTTATTGGCTCAGAATATTAAATACAACAATAATGCTTACAATGTTAAGCTTACCTTTAACAAGTGCTCATCATAGCCACTCGAAAAATATGTGAAGTTAAATTTAGAATTTTGAATAACCTATGATGAATGCGAATAACCTAATTAATTAGAAACTTAACTAAAACGAGACTCGGTCGTTATACTTGGTAATCACCAAAGTAAACGTGTCGGGAAAATTTGACTCGGTCGATCACCAGAGTCGGTACGGGGTTTCTTAAACCAAATTTATGTAGGACGGCTCGGGGTAACGGAATAATCCCCACGGATATTACTCGGGTGAATTGAATAAATTTCGTGGCAAGTAAGAGCCGAGGGTATGTGTGCTGACGGCGGGAAAAAGCGTGCAAGTCGCGCGCAGCGCGCAATTGCGGCACAATTAAAATAAAATTAAACTTCTCTACAACTAAAATTAAACGAAATTCTATAACGGCAGCACACAATAGTTAAGGGCTCCACCACCAAGGGGAAAACTTTATTTAACTCACCAGGATGACTCGGGTCTTTACTAATTGTTGGATTGCTCCAAACAGCGACGTCCTTATCAATCTGAGGCGGGTAGACAACTGAACTCGAGGTCGGCTCCTCTGGCCCTTCTTCCCCATCGCTCCTGGCGGCAGGGTAGCTAACTAATTTCCTCCCCACTACGATGACGTAGGCCTGCTCCTTCGATGCCGTTGTCAACGCGGGCGCGGTTTACCCCGAACGAAAACTAATACTTCTAAATAAAACTTAAAAACGGCTTTTAACCCCTTGACGGCTTTTGGGTCGTTACAGAATAATTTGTTTTTGTTATTTATAATAGTATTGTTGTCTGAACATTACTGCAAGTCTTTACTTACGATTCTTACAACCTAGTTTAAATCATTATTTATTGTGTTTTTACGTTATTAAGTTGGCTGTTTAGTACTGAATGTGAGCAAACACATTAGAAGAGTACAGTACTGTGATATGGTCTACTTTTTGGAATGGCTCGTGGTAGTACAAGAGGAACGGCGAGATTGCAGAACACTATCCGAACAGGCAATGTCCTAATCATAAGACATTTGGTTTTCAGACATGTTCAGACAACATGGTACTTTTATAAATAGCAAAAACAAATTATTCAATCAGCTGTTATGTTTTAAAACTACTGATTGATGTATGTATAACAGATGATTGTAAACATATTTAGACACAGGGCCGGTTCTAGGAATTTTTCAGAGCTAAGCGAACACCCGAATCAGCGCCACTTAGAATCCCCCCTTACCACCCCACCCACTCCCCCCACAACCCATGAACATTACTTAACTATATTTGTGAATTTTTTCCTAACGATTTTGGGAAGAGAACTTTTTTATAAGTTTAGGTTAGAAGAATACTTGCAATAAAAGACTGTTTATTATTCCCAGAAATTTAACATTTTTACACTTTTACTCATCATATAAACTTTAGCAAAACCAAGGCCACACTAAAAAAACAGTCCGTAATGCTCGTCAAGCATGACGTCACTATAGAAGACGGCAATGGCGCAATGTTTGCCATTTGTGATCAGCTGCTTGTTTTAATCTTTCCTTGGAAAATAAATAAATAAATACCTACGTCATTGCCGTCGTCTATCGTGACGTCATGCTTGACGAGCATCACGGCCTAAGTTAAAATTTATTTCTAAATATGAAAACAATTTTTACAGGATAACTTGGATACGATATAAGTTTTTACAAAGCCTATTACAATGAAAAACAGGTGTAGGTAGATGACAAGAGAGGAATTTTTAATTGAACGCATTCAACATGAAGAAAACATGAAAAAACAAACTTATTACTTTGACAAAAAAGAATAAAAAATTTCAATTTGAACAGTTCAAAAGCTCTTAGCAGTTAAAAATTAATTCTCCTAGCTTTGATCTTGGCAAATTCTTTAATTGCTGAGTCGGTATCAATCTGGTTCAGAACAGGTGTACGTATACAACTAAAAGAGTGCAATACAATACAACGCAATGCTCTGCTTCAGGAGGGGAGAGTTATCAGAAGTAGAAGGGAGGGAAGGGAGGGGGAAGTTTCTTGTTGTGACAAGTGGTGCTGCGCGCTTGTTTATCTCGAGCATGAATCATGAAATTAAACCCAAAGGCGCCGCGCTGTACGCTGCCGAGCGTCACCTCACTACAAATCGAAACGAAACTGCAAATGGCATTAAGTCTTTGTTGTAGTGCTGTACAAATATAATCATTTTTCAAGTGCTGTTGGTACAAACAGAATAAATGCCTTTATTGTGGTGCTTTGAATGCTTGAACTCTGAGCAAAAATAAACAAAATTACATTGTTAAAAAAAAAAATTATTACGTTGGTGCCACGAAATGCGGCCGCGTAGTTCGCATATGGGTTGAACCGGCCCTGTTTAGACAACGTAAAAGGAGTAGGCTATTAGCATTGTTTAAACAGAGAAAAGTGGTCATGCATTATGAAAAGAACACATTTCTCAGTTATTGTTTATCCATTCTTAACAAATAAGGTATCATAGAAAACTGCATAAAATTTAGTAACTTTTTTGTCTCTTGAAATTTGTTTGTAAAGTTAACGGTTTTTGTGAAATTTGGCTTCAAATATTTTAAATGACCGCCATTTTAAAACGGTTTATGATTTTTTAGGTGTTTAAAAACATTTTTGCAAAATCTCAACGCTGTATCTCAAACCGTTTTGGAGTTATTAATGTTTTTGTAAAAAACACATAAATACGGACAGACAGCAAACTAGGCACCACAGACCCATGTTCCTATAGTGAAATGTGTTTGTCTTGACATAAGCAATAACGCTATATACATGTGTCCAGAGAGTTACGGGACACCCTGTATAAGATATTGAGGGAAAAATATATTGAAAAATGTACATAACAAGTTAAAAAGATAAAATCACAAATTAAAAACTGCAACTGCTTAAAATGAAAAATAACAAAGAATACTACACCTAAAACTGGACATCTTCACAACTGAAAAAAATCGTCCAGTAACTTCACATGTATTCATCGCCAATGAATTCATAAGCACACTTCAACGAAAATGTCAACGGAATAAAGTGTGGCCTATAATGGTGAGGTAGTATGTGACTACTTTTAATCACTGTGGCAAGTAGTTTTTAGTTATACCTTAGAGCTATGCATCATCGATCATTTTTCGTGTTTAAACCTTGGATATCAAATAAGACTAGAAAGATTTATATCCGGGTGACATTTAACCGCGAAGCATTTGGTTTGGCTTGAAACTGTCAGATATTGTGTTTGCAAAGGTTAAGAGTATTCCCATACTAGTTTTGCCTGCATATATTGAAAAATGCAAACTTCCAACTGCTGATCTGAATATACAGTAGGCCTAATAAGATTTTAACTGACCAAAAGATCCCCATGAGTAGAATGGGCATACAGCTAGTTGAAATGTAAAAGGCTATTGGATCAATTTTTATGCCTTGGAGATTAATTTTCAACCCTATTAAAATGTGAATCTTGCTAATGGTTCACCTCGTATTTATAATATGAAATTTTATTTTTCTCATCATTCAAATCATTCCGCATTTCAAGAAATACCTGTTAATGAAATACTATTTTATTTTCAGATTTAAAATTTTATGTATGTGCTTCTTCAGTAGATCTACCTATTTTTTCAGATAGTTCCATTTTATACTTAAAATCTACACTGCAAATCAATCATCAACCTGTAGGGTCATTCAATTAGAGATTACAAATTTAAGTTTGTATTTTTCTAAGCAAGATAAACATTTGATAGGCCTATTTGAATTTTTTATTAAAATCAATCACTGTACTTATGACTGAGTTTGGTCTCTGATATTCATTCATTAGTCAAATTAGTATCTACGAACAGCTCACGTTGAGGTTAGATATCAACTAAACCTCTGACCCTTCCTTTAAAAAAATTAAAAATATGTATTAAAATGTTTTAGCCTAGAAGTTACAAAAGCCTTTCAACATGAAAATCTGTGCATGCTATCTGAGAAGCATATTGTTTCAATAACACTATTTTATATTTGGTCTATTTAACATGTACTGTAGTCCTATGAGATGTATAATGTGGACTGTTCAAGCTTCTGATTGGTTTATAAATAACCTACTCAGTGGCCAGCGTTCGTAACAGATACATTCATGAAACCAATTTTCTAGCTAAACTTAATTCTCCAGTAACAAAGAGAAGCTTTTAATAGCTGCTGTGATTGTGACAAGCTTCTTGAAATCATCTCCTACCTACACTACAAGGTCGACACCATCTCTCGTGATTGTGGCCATAAGGCGGTAATCTTTGGTGATCGCAGCTACACAGACATTAACCACAACCGTGATGATCTCACCATCAGTACGTGGTAGAATATTATTTTGAAAATTTGTTTATAAGATATTCTCAATAATTGGAAGAGGGTTTAATCCCAGTTTAGTTAGTCTGAAATAGGAGGACTCTTAACTTACTTTATTTTTTTTAAGACTAGGTACTAATAAATGTTTTTTACTGCAAAGTAAATAGGCCTAATTAGAACTTACCCTTGATCCTCTAATAACTGTTCCAGTTCAATGCATTTTACTTCAATTTTTCTTTTTCTTTCATGATCCAGAATTTCCTTGTTGGGTTGTCGGTTGTTTGCTGCGTCCAGTTTTTCCAATTCCTCTTCGGTTTTGTAATTAACTTTGTCCTTTGTTTTTCGCACAGCTGCCCAGTTTCTCTGCACATAGCCATTGGTTCCAGATCCTCGAGCAGTTGGTAAACCGATTCCATTGTACATGATTGTTTACTGTAACCCAAGACATTAAAGTTAAAACTAAGTAGAAAGATTCATGTTCCAGATTACTGGTACTTAAATAAATAAAATGAATTACACACCATAACTTAAGTTAATTCTCAATGAAGCATAGGCCTATTATAGCCTAGGACTTAGTCGCTCTGTCACTTCCCAAACACGTAAAAGAAAGACTCAACTGTTATTGTTTTCAGAGCTTGGGCCTAAGTTATCATAACTTATGTACAAAGGTAAAATAATGTTTACACTGTAAAAATTAAAAAAATTAAATTTCTTTCTCTTTAGGCCTACATTTATTCCTTGCTTAAACTGATGATTTTTTTTTGTTAGTTTCGTGACATGTAACTTACCTAAGTTATGTTATAGTAACTTACATTAAAACTACGCCGTTCGTGACCACATCCCTAAATAAGCCTACGAGGTGAAGTCCCAGCATTTCGTTGGGTACCTGGCAGAGTACCAGTTTAAGAAACGAAACCCCAATAATAAACGGCTCCACACATTTTACTAGGCCGCGGCAAAGATGTGCAGGTATATTGAGTTGAGATATTAAGTTAAGTTACTGCAGTAAGAAAGTTATGAATCAGCCTATATTTTAAACTAAGGTCTCTAACCTAACCCAGCCTTGATATCAATTTTTAAAATAACTTAGCATTTGATGACAAAAAAGGCATGTGAGGAGGATAGATCGGACTTTATGTGGATTCCTGACTGCATTATGTCCTTTGAAGTTAGGTTAGATTTAGGTATGGTAACTTAAGGGTTAGGATATTTTTTGTAATGCTTGCATTTTGTATAACTGTTATTATTGTGTTTCAACCATTATTTCAATTGTGCAAAAACAGTCTGGAGGTAACTTAACATAAATTAATTAGTTGGTTCATTATAACCTAATCTTTAACTTACCAAATCCAAGCTAACTTCAAAGGATTTAATGCAGTCAAAAATCCACATAAAGTACATCCTGCCTTTCCCACATGCCTAAATAAGAGCTGATTAAGTTTCAGAACAAATTGATTTCATTCCGCATTAAGTCAAGTATACACAGCTGTTTGTTCTCCTCAGCCCACATACGGACCCGTCCAGAACACACCATATTGATATCAATTAGGGCCTACCATCAGTAGGCTACCGTTCAATAAACCTTAGATTCAAAATTTTAACCTTCGTTTTACAGCTAATTAGGAATCTCTCCAACAAAAACTGATTGCATTTTTTTATTTATTGTGAAAAACCTGCACCTGACCTTTAATATGTATAGTAGGCTAGACATATCAAAATTACAATTGTTTCCCATTGCTGATACACAGAATAATTGCCAGTCGGTGTATGTCTCTGGGGAGTGGGGTTTTTGACAGGGATTTTTCCCTTTTCCTGGTATTTCTTCTATTTTGTCGGTAAGGCAGTAAAAACCCATGAACAAAATGATTTATGGGGCAAGGGATTCAATGGAACCATTGCCCCCTAGGACCCCCCCCCCCTTTTCCTCTTACAAGGAGGGAAAATGCTCCCCTAATAAAACATATAAAGTTTTTTTCTTTAAAATAGATTAAATATTTTCATTAATACAAATACACCATTTTTTAACACTCTTTTTCCCCTTTTCACTTTACTAAAAGTATATGACTCTAGGAAGTTTGTCAGAAAGGCAGTACAAACCACTGTATAGGCCAACCCCCCCTTTTTTGAGTGAGGAATTCGATGGAACTACCACCGTCACGCTATCTGTCTTCATTTTTGAGTTATAGGGGGGGGGGTACATGTATTTTTTACGCCCTATTTTTGGGGTGAGGTACTCGATGGAACTATCGCCGTCACGCTATCTGTCTTGGTATTTGATTACGACTGGGCTCAAATTGAACAAAAATAAAGGTACAGCTCCGAGAACACAGAACTACTCCCACTTCGATATTGACCTAGGACTCTGCCCCCAGTGTGTATGTTCTAGAGCTACCTGGCAACCTGGGGGGTTTAAAATATGTTTAACCCCTATTTTTTAAGGTGAGAAATTCAATTGAGCAAACGCCATTCCTCTATCTGTCGTCGAATTTCCATATAGGCCTAGGGAATAACAAATAAATAAAAGGTTAAAATACCTGCTTGTCGCCTTGTGGTCCAAGTTCAGTGGAGGCCAAGCCTTGGACCACAAGGCGACAAGCAGGTATTTTAACCTTTTATTTATTTGTCAATCAATTGGTCCGGAAACACCACAACAAAATATGAAACTAGGGAATAAGCTATTCTCTTTAGGGAATTAGCTATTACCGTAGGTGGCACAATAAGACCTAGACCCGGGACTGATTTACTTTTTCGTTTTGATGTCCCCAGAGACCAAAAACACCATCCGTTCAAATTCATATATAATATATAGTTATATATATTTATATATATATCAATTTTAATGAAATTTGGTATGAACGTGTAAACCTACGTTTATTCGAACGAGTTCGCAAACCAGCATAATCGGAAGGACTATGGGAAAAAGTCCCTAAAAGTGTAAATATATGGGGGGCTTTATGGGGTAAAAATTGATTTTCCCCATTATTTACCCTAAAAACACAAAATTTCATAATTTCTCTCTAAACCATTTTGTAAAGCTGAAAAAAATAAATAATTTTGTGTATTGAAGCATTGTTGTATGTGTTTGTATATAACTTACTTACAAGTCTTTGTTTGAAATAATTTGTTTAACAGATGTTGTCAATAATAATTAAGCAATAACATTGAATTGTAAACAGTGTTGGAATAAAGAGAAACAACTTGAATGTTAAAAAAATACTTTTTACTTTTTATAAAACTAAACATGGCGCAGTCGGTAAAGATTTGATTAAGAATAATATCAGAAGAATATACATGGAAATGGAATTTAACAAACCGGATATCCTAAGCCTTGAAGGCAACTTGGAGGAAAATTTTAGGACATTTAAAGAAGAAGTGGAGATATATTTTATAGCCACTGAAACCGAAAAGAAACCTAGGTAACTCTATACAAGCAGCAAGGCTTAAAAACCTACTAGGAAAAGAAGCATTGAAAATTTATAAAGATTTCAAACAAGATGAACCAGAAACAGTAAAAACGATATTAGAGACACTAGAGAAGTATTGCACGCCAAGAAGGAATGAAATCATGGATATTTATAAGTTTTTCAAAAGAAAGCAGCAACAAGATGAACCATTTAATAAATTCTATTCGGACCTAAAAAATTTGGTCAAACCATGAAAATTTGAAGAACAGGAGGAAAAACTGTTGAGAGCTCAGATAATACTGAGATTAAGTTCAAAAAATGTCCAAGAAAAACTTTTGAGAGAAGATTTAAAATTGGAAAAGGTAGGCTAATAGAAACCTGCCAAACAATGGAGTTAACAGAATAAAATATGAATAAAATCAATGAGAAGAAAGAAGTACTTCAAATTACAAATATTCATGATGAGAAGAAAGAAGTTCATCAAGTAACTAAAACCTTTGCTGGAACACGTAAGTTGGAGGAGAGGAATCAAATAGACCAAACAGGTAAAAGATATTTTAAATGTTCCAGATGTAATGGTAGTCATGGAAAACAACAATGTCCAGCTTGGGGTAAGATCTGTAGTAAATGCAAAAAGTCAAATCATTTTGCAAGTGTGTGTAGGACAAACTTAAATATTCTTTCTAATGAGAAATGTAACAAAGTAACTGATCAAAGTAGTAGTTCTTTTGTGCCTAATTACCAAGGCTATGAGATTAACACAGTTTGTGTAGTTGATTCCATTGGTAATCAAGAAGAAGCTTGGTATAAAAGTGTTAAAGTTGAAGGGTTCAATGTAAGAGAATGAAACTTGATACTGGGTCTGAAGTAGACATTGTCTCATATTCCTTTGTAAAACTAAATAAACTACAAAATAGGATGAAGAAAAACCTAAGCAAACTAATTTCATTCGGGGGGTTTCAAATAAATCCAGTAGGATACATATAGATGCACAGATTGAGACAGAAAATAAAATGGATGTTGTAAAGTTAGTAGTGGTCAGTGGAGAATGTACTCCAATCCTAGGGCTGAAATCTTGTCTAAGTTTAAATTTAATAAAGAAGGTACTGTAGATACTGTTGCTAATGGTTTATCAGTAATAGAAGATATAAGAAAAATTAAATCTATGCAGGGCCTGATTAAGGCTCTAGTCGCCAGTAGGCTGATGTTTTTCGCGCCCCCCCCCCTCCTCCCTACCGCTAGCCCTCCTCTCTGCCACCACTTTCAAAATTTCAAAGTATGAATACTAATTCTGAATTCAAAAATTAAAAAATACCAAAGGCATTATACTACTATTCAGTTTATTTAAAAACAAAAGAAAGCTGATCACAAATTAATGCATGGTTTGATTAGGAACTTTTAAAACTGCAAATTTATTGACTTTGAGATAATATTTTAAATTCAAGAGCTAAACAATATGACATAGTCATAGGCACTATTAATTCTGGTCGAGTATAGATACAGAAGGTTAAGACATTGTTTAAACTAAGTTCACAGTACGACCTTATAAAGCTTCGTTTGCACTAGGGCGGCACGGCACGGACGGGCAGCCGTCACACAATTTTTCGCCTTATGTTCAATGCTGAACAAATGCCATGACGGCCGCCAATCTCGTTGTGCTGCACCAGTGCGAACGAGGCTTAAAATAGTAACAAATCGGTTGTTCAAGGAATGTAAAACTTTTTGATTTAAAATAATGTATTTATTTTACAGTTTATTGAACATATGATTGTATTAAACCAAAAGTAGACCTAACCTAAAATATCAAAAAACCAAACAATAATATACGTACTTTCTAAATTAACTGTTAATTACCTAGGCCTTTTATTAGGGCCTTTACGCCCCCAGATCCAACTTTAAGTCGTAGCTGTCTGGCGCCCCCCCTAAAACACTTGGCTGACTGGCGCCCTAGGCTCCAGCCTAATTAGCCTAATGGGTAATCAGGCCCTGAATCTATGTTAAAAAAGAAGGACAGTCAAGACGGCTAAA